GGCAAGCTTTCCCGCTTCTTGTCCAGCTAGGACCAGCCTACCCCATAGGGCTTTGGCTTGCAGGAGCTGAGGGGGATAACTCCCAGTGATGGGTTTGCCCTTCCAGGTCCTGCTGATGAACCAGGCATGCTGTGCTGTTATCAGCAGTGCCCGAGAATACTGCGGAGCTGCCTGGCTCAGGAACCGGACTAGAGACCACCACAAAGGGCTGACTCGATTCCAAGATTCTGTTGAGAAACATGTCACTTTGGAGCCACTTCAGCTCCAAGGAGACACTGCTTACCTCCTCCCCCCAAAGAGGGTAGTAGTCATTTGTAAATTTCTTGATAAAACAAAAGCTTCTTGGTGTTGAAGGTGCTTTAACTGGGATAAGTATTTGTGGAATTATGAAGGGGAGAAATCAGCAAGGGTTTCTGCTCCTAAGGCCCAAAGTTCCTTATGGCTTTCACTTGAAGATTATTGTCTTTAAGATTTAAGGTTGGGAAATTCTTAAATCTAGTCTTAATTTGGAACCTGGTTCTTTTTAAGTACTACAGACAGAACAGCTTCCAAATTTAAACACTTTTACAAAATTCTACACCATCTGAAATTTTGAAAACAAAATAATCATTTAAACTAAGATGGTGAGGAATTATGGACATTGGACTCTCATCATATAGATCTTGGTCTCTAGGGTATAGAGGGGTATAGGTGAGGGGAATAGGAGGGGTGGGAGTACGTGTGGAGTATAAACACCTGTGTGGACCATTTTGGGGTGAATAACCTGTTTCCGTGCCATACCACTCTAGATGTAACTATGCCTGCTTATTATTTTGAAAATCTCTTTGCAGGTTCCGCAGTGGTCAGTGCAGGAACAGATGAAATCCAAAGGTGGCTACATGGAGCAAGGTGATGTCAAGACACAGATGATCGATACAAAGGCAGCATAACAGCAGCTCGTGGGCACTAGTAAGTGTCTTTTGGGGTGTTTGTAGTCAGTGGTTCCTAGTCAGTGACACTTTACCCCATTTAACACTGGGGGTTTAGTGTTAATAATAATAATCCTTGCATTTGATATAGCGCTTTTCACGTCGGGAGGACGTCCCAAAGCGCTTCACAGAACACACTGTAAAGTGAATTAACTGTATATTTGTGGGCGAACGCGGCAGCCAATTGCGCACAGCAATGTCCCACAAACAGCCGTAGATTGAAAATGACCAATTTATTATTGTTTTTGGTTTTGGAGGGATTATTATTGTGTTGGACCTAGGATTGGTCCAGGGCAAATATGCTGCTCTGAATGGCCTCCTTCTGCATTGTGAATTTTCTATGATTTAGTGTTGGAACATCAACCCTTAATCATTCTATTTCTGGTCCAGAGGAGGTGTAATCTAACCGCCTTAAATAGGAAGCTTCTCTGTCTAGCTCCATCTTGTTTCTTGCACCCGGCAAAGTTTTGGTGAGTCCCAACGCAAAAGGACTCCGCTATCATTACATGTATTTGCCTTTTGATCTGATCTGTATGCAATGTTTGCAGTTCAGTTGGAAATAACTTCACCTGATGTAGTTTTAGGCAATGTGGAAATCACCTCAACAGAATAGTGAAGTCAGGATCTGCACACAGTCTTATAATAATTCTTGCTTTTGATATAGCGCCTTATCCCATCCTCGAGATGTCTGAAAGCGCTTTACAGTATATACTATAAAGTGAATTGACTGTGTATTTTGTGAGCAAAATGCTTTTTTTTTAAAAAAAAAGCCTTTGTATGGAATCTCCTTGGGGAAAAGATTTGGATCAGCATCTTCTAGGAGAGGATTTAGGGATTTAAAGGAAGGATAACATTTTGCCTCCATAGTTTCGTGGGTAGAAGAAAATACAGAGTCACCTCCTGTAAAGCGCTTTGAGACATTTTGATGATGTGATTTATCGAAATGCGAGGGTTGTTCTTATCGATGTCCCGAATGACTTTTACAAGGTCAGTTTTTGCTCAGGTTCTGAACTGAACCAATTATATGTTGTTCCAACATTCTACCACTGGAGAGAGCCCAAATAACAATATGGTTCATTGAGGTCCTTTAGTGGTAGAGACCTGGTAAGACAAGCTGTACATACAGATGTTTGATACCTTGGTTAGTACTGTACCTCCAGTGAAATACTGTACTCATTTGACCAGCGTTGGAGGTAGACTGTAATGTGGGTTGGATATGCTTTTTAACCGTATTTCCACCCATCTTGGTTTCAGATATTCACTGTTATTAACGGCAATAAGACCAAGATATACAACTGACATCCTACAGGGTGTCTCCTAGCAAAACCCCAGACAGGATCACCAGTGAAATGGAAAGCCCCACAAAGAAACCATTGACTGATCTGTTGCCTTTGTAATGCAAATATCTTCAGAATTTTTTATTTTTAGAATGTTTCCAAGAGATCTGTACATCTTTCTGCAATCAATAAGCAAGCACTTTGAAGGACTGTTTATGTTTTGGAATTGACTAGGACGTGCTCCTGGTACAAACCATGTGTTTCAGACTGATCTTGGTTTGAGAAGAACTCTCAGCATTGTTGGAAGCTCCAGGTTTCATCACTGCACAGACACAAAGTGATTGCCATTGGAATAGTATTCTTACCACCAGTGAATGTGGAATTGCAGGTTGCTATCACGTGCAGGGTATTTGTGTCCTAGACAGGAGGTGGGCATTTGCCCCAGCAACTTTAAGCTGGTGCTAATTCATCCAATGGATCTACCCTGATCCCAATTTCCCTGCTTATTCTCTGTATCCTTTTATCAGTCTTCCTTATTAAAATGCTTTATCCAACTTGGTTAAAGTTTCACTCTTAATATCCACTCATAACAAAGCATTCCATGTTCTAATAACCCTTTGTTGGAAAATATTCCTTTTAATCTCCCCTTAATTCATCCAGCAACTATTCTGATTTTATTCTCCTTGTAAATGTTTCACCAAACAGCTTTCACTGTTCTTTCAAATCCTTCCTAAACTTGGCAGACATCGATCAGATCCCCTCCTAATTACACAAGTTGATCAAGTGATGTATAGAAATAGACCAAGTGATTTATTTGCATCTCATGTGAATGGTGGATTGCAGGGATTTAATGTGCCTCTCAGCATCATGTCTATTAGAGCGTGGGGTAGAGTGGATGGCGGGCACCTCCTGTCTCTGGGAGGCATTGAAACTGTGTTGTAATCGTTGCATCCTCTTTCTTTTATGTGATGTGTAATACTATTGCAAAAAAATGCTTAGAAGGGTTATTTTATCCATCATGTTGTTGTGATCAGAATTATATTATTGCTTAACATATTGTTTCAGTTCGGTTAGGAATGCTTATGTTTGTTAGTCAGTATTGAAATTGCCTTCCATTGGAGTTCGTGTAATTGAGGTCTGATGTTGGACTAAATCTTCACTGTTTTAGTTCTAATGGTTCATTTTTTCAGCCGGTTCATTAGTTTCAAACTGATGATAGCCACATCAGTGCAAATGCTCTTTCAAATGACAACACCCCAATGCATTCACATTTGCATTCCCTACATATTTTCGTCAGTTTTGCTTCTTTTATTATCCTTTTCCCCTCCCCATTCTTTCCCCCTCCCATCACTGAATCTTCTTAATATAGACTGACCTCTGACATTTCATCCAAGTGCCTATTATTCATGCGGCTGCCTTGACTGTGCGTGTCGGTGAGCTATTCGGCCAAGAGGGAGAGTGGAAAGACTGCACAGTATTTACATTATAAATCACACATACCATGGAAGTTGTGTGCTGCCAACACAGAGGGTTGGTGTGATACCAGGGATACCAGTTAAATCACACGCAATGATCCAAGGTGTTCAATCCTGTAAATACTTTGAATTTATAGTAGTCTGGAAAATAAAAGCTTTTTTGTAAAAAAAAGTCCAAAGTCTTCTCTGTTTCTCTCTCAGAGTTAGTATAGCGCAGCTCTTACAGTCATCATTCCATTTCCGCAGAAAAAGATGAATTGCAACTCATGCCTTGACTGAATAAAATGTTGACTTAACATTTAAGTCAACATTCAAGCTCTCCCCCACTCCCCCACCTTCATTCGTTTCGTGGCTGTTTGTGGGTGGCCGCATTCGCCCACAAACATACAGTCACTCCACTTCACAATAAATCCTGGGAAGCACTTTGGGACATCCTCCAGAAGTGAAAGGCAACAATAACCACAAATTTATATTTTCACATCAGGAGAATGCCCCGAGGCGCTTGACGTTCCTGGCTCGGCACCTGAGTTGGGGGGGGGGTGGGAGCAGAGGGAAGGTACATAAGGCACTAAATCAAATTACACCCCACACTTCCAGAGGCAGCAAAGGGGAGAAACGCGAAGAGACCTGAAGTGGGAGGTATGAAGCAAAAATATGCTATACAAATAAATGCGCCATATAAATACAAAATTAATGAAAACTGCCCCCCCCACCATATCTCTTTCTCTATATGATATATATATATATATATGGCCACAATAGTATTATCTGTATTGAAATTGTAATTGAAATTGTAAAAAAAAGTAATTTTGCACAATTTTAAAAAATTTGGGGGGGGATTTGCCTAATTTTTACTTTTTCTGTGCATAATCCCCGAGGGGGTGGGGTGGGGGGGTCTGCCCCAAAATGCAAAGAACATCATCAACACTGCAAAAAGATGTGTGTGTGTGTGTGTGGGGGGAGAGGACATGGGACAACATGACATAACCATAACATAACCCGCCGCCGACATCCCGCCGGTGGGTGGAGCTGTGACCTGACGAGCCTGCGGGGGGGGGGGGGGGGGTGAGCTCTGGCCCGACCGATGACGATTGAACCCGAACAGAAAGCCGAGAGCGTGATGGTGGCGGGGGGGGCGGAGTGCGCTTGCGCGGGGGAGGAAACGAGTGACGCCGGTGGTGGTGAAGGGGGAGGAGTGGGAGGGGGGAGTAGAGGGAGAAGAGCCTCGGCCCCTCCCCCCCCCCCCCGTTTGCGCCTGAGCGCCTATAAGGTCCATTGTGCGGCTGCGCGGAGACCAACCGCCTGTCACTGGATCCTTAGGGGGAAGTCGGCGGTGATGGCGCGGTCGGTGCTGACGGCGGCGGCTTTCGCTCTCTTGCTGCTCGCCCTACAGGTAGGGGGAGGGCGGCCATTGGCGAGCCCGGGCCGTTGAGATGAATGAAGCTTTCAAGTGAGGGGGGGAGAGCCCTGAGCGCAAGGTCGCGGCCGTTGTGGAACGGGCGCGGGGTCTGGGCTGAATGGCCTCCTTCCTCCTTTTTTGGGGGGGGGGTCGCGGGGGGCAATGCCTGACTTGTGTGAAACTGAATTCAACGAGTTTTTTTTTATCGCGGCGGTTCTGGGCTTGTGGGGGTGTGTGTGTGGGGAGGCGTGTGTGGTGGGTGTGTGGGTGTGTGTGTGGGGGGGGGGTGTGGGGTGTGTGTGGGGTGTGTGGGGGGGGGTGTGTGGGGGGGGTGTGTGGGGGGGGTGTGTGTGGGGGGGGTGTGTGTGGGTGGGGGTGTGTGTGTGGTGGGGGTGTGGGGTGGGTGTGTGTGTGTGGTGGGGGTGTGTGGTGGTGTGTGGGTGTGTGGTGGGGGTGTGTGTGGTGGGGGTGTGTGTGGTGGGGTGTGTGTGGTGGGGTGTGTGGGGGGGGGTGTGTGGGGGGGTGTGGTGTGGTGTGTGTGTGGGGATGTGTGTGTGGGGGGGGGTGTGTGTGGGGTGAGGAGGGAGCATTAAAATGGAAGAGTCCCTCGAGCGAAGCAATGAGGAAGTGCTTTGTGTATAACTTTCGGCGCAAGTTCCACTGACGATGATGACGGTGGTGGTGGTGATAATGATGATGATGATGATGGCAAAACCGAAAGAGGAAGTTTTGCGGAAGGTTTTGCCCTTCGGGGAATGTCCACGGGGAACCCCCCTCCCCCCCCCCCACCGGGTGTGATGATGCTCCAATGGCGATTTTGCTTTGTTTTATTTTCGTCGTCAGGATAAAATACCCCTGAGGTGTCTGTCTGAATCGAGGACATTGGTTAAAACTACTACTACCACTACTACAGGAGTCCTGTAGCTCAGTGGTTATAGAGCACTCACTTTGCAAGTGAGAGTCCTGGGTTCAATCCCAGGCAGAGGGCGAAACCTCGGGCAAGTTTCCTTACTTCCACGCACAGCCCCTAATAATAATCCTCCAAAAAAAAAACAAACCCCAAACAACAATAAAAATCGGTCACTTTCAATCCACGGCTGCTTGCGGGACACTGCTGTGCGCAATCGGCCGCCGCGTTCGCCCACAAATGAATGTACGGTCGATTCACTTTGCGGTGTGTTCTGTTGAAGCGCTTTGGGACGTCCCCCCCGACGTGAAAAGCGCTACATCGAAAATGCAAGGATTATTATTATATTGTAGGATGAGCTATGAACCACACTGGTAAATTGTAATGCAGGAGGAGATCTGCAAAACTGGTGTACGGAATCTGTTTCTGAGATTTGTCTGTGGCGGAGTTGCAATTAAAAGTCCATCTTCCACTGGAAGAAACTGAAGCTGTGGCTCATACCTCTTAGAAATATTGTGCAATTAAAGACAAGATCTCGTGTCCCTGAAAAGAAATTGCCATTTTTTTTAAAAAAAAGCACATTACATTGTTTGTGCAGATACATGTTTGCTTAAGGTTTCCTTCTTCGTGCATCGGTTTCTCTTCCTTTTTATATAATCTTTTGAATTCTTGAACTTAGACTTTTTTGATAGTCTTTTAGTGAGTCCTTAATGCTATAGTTTAAAGACCACTTCTCATATGTGATGGAAGCCCCTGTAATCTACCTTTAAGACTGGGAAAAAGAGCATCTATCAGTGAAACTTTTTTGTAATTGTACTGAATCCTTGGTCTGACCTAACAGACCTAACCCAACTGCATAAAATTGGCTCCTGTCATGATTGAGTGGTCATGCATGATGTTATTTACAGCTCTATCAAAGCTTCTCCCCTTGGTCCCAATGTTAGAACTGACTGTGGTGTTTGTATAAAGGTAGTAAATGGAAGATTAGTCATTGGCTGTGACAGCTGTTTGTGATTCAGCTGCCGCTCACTGCATTAATATTGATGTGCATTCTGTTAACCTGATACCATGGGTTAGTTCTATTTGTTTAATATTTCCCTGGAAATAACTGTTGTATCGACTGTCAGCATAATTATTTGCTTCCATGTTTAGATTGTTTGGGTGCAAAGTGTCCCGGACCTGTTCTATTAAGCGTTGGGACTGGTTACACTTGGTTTGATTGAAATTTATACAAGGTATATTGGAAATGCCTGGTATGCAACATGTCCATACAGTGATGGTAATGTAACACAAATGCTTCCCTAGTAATAATAATAATAATCCTTGCATTTGATATAGCGCTTTTCACGTCGGGAGGACGTCCCAAAGCGCTTCACAGAACACACTGTAAAGTGAATTGACTGTATATTTGTGGGTGAACGCGGCAGCCAATTGCGCACAGCAATGTCCCACAAACAGTCATAGATTGAAAATGACCAATTTATTATTTTTTGGGGGTTTTGGAGGGATTATTATTAGGCTCTGTGTGGAGTAAGGAAACTTGCCCAAGGTTTCGCCCTCTGCCTGGAATTGAACTCAGGTCTCTCGCTCGCAAAGCGAGTGCTCTAACCACTGAGCTACAGGACTCAGTGCAGCTAGTAGCCACATCCAGGATTATTGCAAATGGTCTTGCTAACATTTCCTGCACCTGACTCCTAATTCTTCTGAATATTTTTCAGGCAGATGCTCAGGAAGGCATTCTACAGGCTTACAGCAATGAGACTGCAGGTTTATCAAAGGACTTTTGTATTCTGTATAACCCTAACTGGGTGGCACTTCCATCGTCTTTGGGCAATGCTGTAAGTAATAATTATTGGTGGCAATTAAGCATGGTAGTCCCCAGAGCAAACTGTATGCAATGTATTGTGAAAGGTTACTTAAGGAAGGATTAAAATTGAAGTATCAGCCTTGAATTCAAAGTCCTATGTGGGATGTAAGCCTGTGACCTTTTGACTCGTACGAATACTGCCAACTGAGCCAGGCTGACGCTTAATATTTCTTGTTGTACACTAGGTTTGCTGTCAGTCTTCAAACATCTTATGCAATAAGTGTTTGACTGTAGTTTAGGTGGTTTAATGTGGATCTTGCCAGAGATGCTTCAAACTAGAAGCTTTCTGTCCTGGGATCAGCCATTTGCTATATTTACTGTGCGACAACTTAACAGATCAACATCTGTGGGCATATAGCCCCAAGTAGAACTGTATTCTGTGTTGTCCACTGGCCAGGCATTTTGAGTGAGGAACTTGGCTATATTATGGGAGGGTGGAGGTGGCCTTGTCTGTGATAACAACCAGGCATCCACAGCAACAAAATTATATTTCTATAGTCCCTTTCACGTCAAAAGGATGTCCGAAGGTGCCGGACAGTTGAGGGGGTTGGAAGCAAAAGGGGGTTTGAAACCAAGAGGTGGGGGATGGCCAAAGAGGAAGGTTTGAGATGAGCTTGAGGGAGGAAAGGGAGGTGGGGTGAGGCGGAGCGACACTAGGATGGAGTTCCAGATGGTGCCCACCAATGGTGTGTGGTGGGGGTGGGGGGCATGGAGGGAGCTGATAGGTTGGTAAGCTGTTAATGGATCACAGAGTGAGGGAGAAGCAAGACCGTGGAGGGCTAATCCTCATATAACTGTGCAGATTGATTCATTTTTGTCTTTCTTAGACCGTGCATCGGCTACAAATTCTGACCTCGACAATGTTGTGCAAAGTAACTGACGTACCTTCGGAGGGCCTACAAGGCATTGTTGTGGTGATGAGAGGGAACTGCACATTGACAAGCAAAGCTAAGATTGCCCAGAATCATGGTGCCAAAGCCCTTTTGATTGCCAGCATAGAAAATCCAGTGAGTCCAAATCTGACTAATGCAGCTTCACTTTAACAAACTTCCATTTTGTTCTATCACTTTATCTGTAAACAATGATTAACTGGAAGCCATAAAATTCCCCTCTAAATCCAAACAGCGTTGACATTCAATACCTATTTAAAGGAAGTTGCTAAGCTTGAGTAGCTTTGTGCCCAATCTGTAATAGATTTTTTTGTTAACTTGTCAGGTTAGACAGACCATACTTCTTACCCACTTACTTTGGTTTCTCTATTTAACCGCATTTCTCTGACAGTTTGTTTTTTCTCCCGGTGGGACAGGGTTGGATTCCATCCTGCCAATCCTGTTTCAATCTGAAGTAATGCACCACTGGTCAAGTCTATGTGATGCTTCAAGTTTAAAACTACATCTGTGAAGGCTTAATTTGTAAATGACTGCCTCATCAGTGTGGTTGTGAATCTATTTCTGAATATACCCAAAATAGAGCACATCAAGGCTTTTCTTTCAAAGGAAGGAAACTAATTCATGGGTTTATTACCTTTATTTGGTTTTCTGTGAAGATGCCTGTCCACATTTAATCTAAAATAGAAGGGAATACAGGGTGTGGGGCTGTCAAAAGTCACTTCTCTTGATGATAGCCTTACAGGCCAGAAGATGCATTCTGTTTATCCGACCTGGGGAGGAGTTATATTGGCCAATGAGTCGCCATTTGAAGGTAGAGTTAATTGGTAGTTGAGTGAATAGGGTCTGAACTTGGGCTTGAAGCATTCTACACTTATTCATTTCTGTAGTATGATAAGATTTTGTGTTTTTATGAGTTTGGACCGCTTTACGAAACCAAGACTATCTGTTTTTTAGATTCCTCCCAGAGGTAATGCGTCTGAATCCAAGGAAATCAATATTCCAGTGGCTCTCTTGCAATATAATGATGTTGTAAACATGAAAAAGGTACCACTCTCACTACTCTGTAATGTAATTTGGATTTACTAGTTCCCATAAATACTCAATAACTCTTCCCCATGTGTTTTCAGGTGCTTGGAAATAGCATTTCAGGAGTACTTTATTCCCCTCCCGTGCCCTCTCTGGATTATAGCATTCTCTTGATCTTTGTTATTGCTGTTGCCACTGTAACAGTTGGAGGCTATTGGAGTGGTTCTGAAGAATCTGGAAGGTGAAGTGCAGTTCTATCTCTTGCTGAGATTCAAAACTGACAAATGTTAATTTTCAGTATTTAATTTCCAGAACTATTGACAAGAATGTTTCCTTTGTCTATTGTAATTCCTTATCAGCAGAGCACTGACATTACAAAGGCTGATGCTATAGTATTAAGTTGATGAAATTCTTTCTCATCAGTCTGTTGCAATGCGTTTGTCCTGATTTGTGTTTTATCAGACCACCTGTCTTTGTTTTTCCATTGTCTGGGCTAACATTCCCACAGATAAAGTGGTCTTTCACTTCATTTTTGTGGGATGTTGCTGTGTTCACCTATAAAATAGTATCTGCACTCTGCAGCATGAGATTCAACCAGTCAATTGTCGCTAGGTGGAGCTCTCGCACATGACGAGAAGAATGAGTGATAGAACTGCATTGTTGTTGAGTCCTATTGAAAACTAAACTGAAATAAAAATATTTCATACCTCTCAAATTAAAAATATAAACTTTAATGTTTGAACTGCATAAACATTGTTCCTTCTTGTTTTTATTGAGCATATGTGAGATGCCACCTAATGGCGATTGACTGGTTGGTTCTACAATATATCCTGTGGAGTGCTTTTAGACACTTCTTGACATTGTGATATGGCACTATCAAATGCAATTCACACGCTCTCCTATTTCCTTGAACAGGAACAAAAATGGCGGCACAGCGTCGGACTCTAGAAGGCAGACAAAAGAATTAGACAGGAACAAGGACCAAACATTAATTCTCTCACCACTCACAGTGGTGGTATTTGTTGCCATCTGTTGTGTGATGATTGTGCTGCTATACTTCTTCTACAAATGGTTGGGTGAGCATGTCTGCGCAGCACGCGATTATCATACCAAACTATGTTTCACAGTTCAACAGATTTAAAAGCACATCTACAACTTGGAACACACAGTATAACTGTGACTTGTGATTATCGAATATTTTAGTCTTCTGTTTCTCCTGGCTGCTCTGAACCAAGTGTGTTGTAACATCTGTCAGTTTATTGCAGGGGGGAAAAAATCTTAATACCCTTAGTTCTGAGATTTGTGATGAGTCAGAAGGGTATAGAGGGATGGGAGTATAAACATTCGACTGATTGGGTGCAAAGGTTTCTGTGCTGGAGCACTATGTAATATCTAACATGTGGTGAGGAACTTCTTATGTCTTCTCATTTTTNGCTTCTCTCAGTGTATGTGGTAATCGCCATCTTCTGCTTGGCATCAGCAATCAGCCTCTACAACTGTCTGTCTGCAGTGATGGCTAAAATACCATTTTGTAAATGCAGGTGAGCAGTGACTTTCATCCTAATATATTGCTTTTGTTTTATCTAGTTCTGTCCCCGACCAACAATTGTCCTGATAAATTGAGTCATTCCTTTTCTTGGTGTTTGTGGGGCATCACTGAGTGTAAATTGGTCTTTGGTTTGTCTGTGTTTGACAGCAATTGGTCAGGATACTCTTAAGCATGGTGATGCGTTACCACATGTATCAAGACACCCTACTGAACAAAAAAAATTGACAGCATTTATTTCTGAAGTACAAGATTTTCAATATCAAAGGTGCTATGTCAGATTCATTTATTAAAAGATGATTGTTAATATTCGTCTGTGTTCATAACTTTTTTTGCAGACTAGCATGTGGTCAGAGAAGTTTTGAGGTTCGATTGATTTTTCTTGCTGCAGTCTGTGTAGCTATCGCTGTGGTGTGGGTGGTATTCCGCAATGATGATAGGTGGGTATTGTGACTAATATTGCTCTCTAATTCCTAACTTCCTACACATCCAGTGCTGTCATAGAAGCCAAGAATGTAGCACCCTCCTAATCCTCAAACTGTAGTTTGTTACAATGAGTGTAGAGTTTATTGAATTGGGGTGGGGAGAGTATTTCTACCTTTTTATAGACAGAAGATAATGCACTTTTTGTGTTAGTTTGTAATTGGTAAATTACGCAACAAGTTTAAGTGGTTGAAAGTGCAGTTGACATTCTGGGAAAGAATCCATTGTTTTTCCAGTGTGCAGTATATTTCTCCAGAAAAATACACACTTTAAATATTATCTTGAGTGGCTTTAGTATCAATGGAGTTGCAAAGCCGAGCATTTCAGTTACTGAATTGCCTGCCTCTGTATTTAATCTAAAATAGAGTGTACTGTTTCCTATTTCAGCTGGGTATGGATTCTGCATGACTTTTTGGGAGTTGCCTTCTGCCTCAACTTCCTGAAAACTGTGAAACTGCCTCATTTCAAGGTACTGTATATACAAGCAATACTGTTACTTTTTCTTGATGCCATGAATATTAGTGACATTGGAGTAATTCTACATCTGACTTAGACTACTTTTAAAGTTTATTCCCTCCTTGCCACTTTGACAATGAATTGGATTTTTTTTAAATGTCATGCTATCTTGGAAAGTTTCAACGTAAGTCTGCAGTTGCACCTTATTAAAACTTTTTTAAAAATGTTCTCCTTGTTCACAGTCTTGTGTTATTCTTCTGGGACTCCTCCTGCTATATGATGTGTTCTTTGTGTTTATAACTCCATTCATCACGCCGGTAAGTAACTACACACTTTCTGCGAATTAATAAATCATCCACTTGTGCTGGCTGAACAATATCTAGTGTTTGCCTTAGAAAAACAGATAGTATATTTGACAACATAAGGCGCTGCAATCTAGTGCAACAATGCGGTGGGTGGGTGGGCGCAGATCTTTGCCTTTAACTGATTGATTTGGTTGGTTTCCCTTTTAGCAAGGTAAGAGCATCATGGTCGAAGTGGCCACTGGAGGAACTGACACAGCTGAAAAGGTGAAATAGAAAAATTATCTTGTGTGTGAACCAGGGTTTGTTTTTTTTAAATAAAAAAAATTGTGCAGAAGTGCTTTTCTTCACACAAAACCCCTTAAACATTGGGTTTGATTCCAGAGTGATGGAATGGGTTTGATTCCAGAGTGGTGGGACAAACCTAATGGAAGTTCTGTTGAGCCATCATCCTACTCCCACCATGAAAAAGTAAGAATTAACGTGCATCTTTCTGTGGGGCAGCAATTGATTATGAACCAGCACTCAATTTTTTTTTCAGATCATACCTCCCAACTAGTCCTTGCGAAAGATGGGCCATGTTTGAAGTGGCTATTTGACTATATTATAATGACATGCTATCTATCCATCCTTTTTAATGGGATGTTTTGTGGGGGAGAGATTCTAATTCCTCATGTTATTGAAAGCGGTGAACCAGGGAGATATATTCCATGAAATTAATTCTTTGGGTTTTTTTGTGGGGGGGTGGGTGAACTTGTTTGCTTGGGGAAAAATATGTTGCTATTGGGGAGGGTAATGTACGAATCTTTACTATACATTGCTCATCAGCAACAGCTTTTTTTTGAGCTGCCCAGTAAAGCTCACATTGACATCATTCACCATTTGCACCAAAATAGGACTATACAAAATAGGGTATATTTATGATCATACCCTTAATTGTATTCAAAAAAAAAACTGCAAACCAGTAGAGAAATTCTTCATCTAGTCACCTTAGATTGAATATGAACCCAGGCCTTAGAGGTAAAACGCAGTGTGCAGGTACACTTGCCACATGTGGGAATATCATTTGGGTACTTTTAGAGCTGTCTTAGAGTGGGAGAGAAAGAGGAAGCCTCTTGAGCACAGGACAGTTGAGAGGTATCCTCTGGATTTGTTCATGGTTTACTTGTATGAGTTATTACTATGAAGTTCTAAACTCATTGGTGGCTGAAGTAATTCCTGAAGCTTCACAAAGAGGTTACAGTTAATTTGGTGGCATCTATCAAGTAGCTGCAAAAAGAACTCTGAAATATACCCTATTGATGCCAAATTGGGGAGATTTTTGCTACTTTGCTTCTGCATCCATTTTCTGCTCCTCAGCCAAAGCATGCAAGCCCCAAATAAATGATGGGCTCTCTATAACCCCAATCCTTTACATGGTGAATGTAATTTCCTTGCTGCACACCATTTTCATCCTGGCTTCATTACCGTGATCAGCTAGAAAGTCTTGCTCAGCTTTTTAGCTTTATTTTTCTGTACCATCGCTTCTTGTTAGTGTGCAAGTGAAGAACTCCATAATCTTCCCCCCCACTCTGAAATTCTGCTTGAGCCTGAGTAAATCAAGGGTTTTTTATCCATTGTCTATTGGACTTTGATTCTGTGCCATGCTATCACTTTCAAAAAGGAATATTAATTATTAAATTGAAGATTAGCATTTACTTTGATGTGCAAAATTGATAAGATATTCAAAGTATTTTGGATTTAAATACTATTCTTCCGTGGCTGTCCTTTTTTCAATTGGATTTGGATACCCCCACCCCCCCACCACTGAAAAGTGTGGCATTGAATTGCTCTATCTCATACCAGCTCATTCTGGTTCAACTGTATTTTCTGTAGTTGCCAGTGGTTCTCCGAGTTCCAAGACTCACGCCTTCAGTGATTACTTTGTGTGGAATGAGCTTTTCTCTGCTAGGATTTGGGGATATTATTGTGCCAGGTAAGCAACGTTTTTAAATTCTCCTAACTTGCGTGTCCTGTATCTTTGTTAAATGTGTGACACTCCATGGTAATTTGCACCATTGAGATTGTTCAATTTGATGTACCCTCCTATGTGTTAAACGTTAGATGGATGTACAATTCAGTGCTACCTATAACCATTGTTTAATGCAATAGGATTACATAGCTGTTGGAAGGAGTTATCTTGGTTAAATGGAATGCAAATTTTTCCAACATCTGAAGTTTCTAATGAGCTTCACTACTATCTAATGCCACTTGACTTTTACACTATGGGTAGCAACACTAATATTGAATACAATTCTCGCTTACGTGATTGATTTGAAATAACTTGATTCTCAGCTTTTGCTTGCCCTTGGTGTGTATGTTTGTTCTTACTTGCAGGATTGTTGGTTGCCTATTGCCGACGATTTGATGTTCAGCGAAACTCCTCCAACATCTATTTTGTATCATGTGCTATTGGTAAGTGCTTCTTAAAATTTGGTACCAAGTGCACATATACTACCTGTGTGAAGATGCAAGTTGTTGTAGTAACTAATTGGATTGTAGTACACCATCAGGGGCTGCTTTGTTAATGTAACTACCCATTCATCAGCACTACTGTGCACAAGCTCTCAATGTGCTTGGTGTGGGATCATGTAAGTGAGAGGACAGATGGAAAGCCTTGTTGAGCCAGATGTGAGAGAAGACTCAACTACCTATTGCCTCTTTGAAACATTGTGCTCAGATTTAATGTGCTTATATTGTGTGCTACCTTAATTATCAGTGTATTTAGAAGAAACCAATTTTAAAAATTTCCCTTCCATTTCTCTTCTCTTCCCTCTACCCCACTTGGAGCTCATGGCAAACTTTTTCAGTTTCGGGGTGTTTGCCATTTCCTTGTAATTTAGTAGTCTAGTTTTCTATTGAAATACCATGAAATGGGAAGCTGTATCCTGCTTTACATGAACTTGTGCACAGGTACAGGTTGAATTACACTCAAGCTGGTTTAAAATGTGTCCTCATCCAGTTAAAGATCCTACTTGGAGGCTAGAATTTTCAATAGATTAATGATCGTTTTAGAAGTTTTAACATTTAACTCTGAAATAAAGTTGCCTATTAAGACCGTTGACTGTTTCTGAAGTTTGGTTACAAGGATTTGTATTTTGGTTATGCCAATAAAGACAGGTGTTGAAGCATTGAAGCAACTTTAATTTTGCTTTCATGTATTTTCCAGCATATGCAGTGGGTTTGATTTTGACGTTTGTTGTTCTGATCCTGACCAAGATGGCACAACCTGCCTTGCTCTACCTTGTGCCTTGTACTCTCCTAGCCAGTGTTGTGACTGCCTGGACACGTAAGGAAATGCGAACATTCTGGAGTGGACACAGCTATGAGGTTAGCAGATTTCCTTAATGTTCAGGATTTGTACAGAATATAACTATGTCCAGTAATTCTCTACTATCTAATGATACAACTTACTGAAATCTCTGGGTTGACTTCTAAATTTTCTTTTTGAGTAACACTTACAGACATTTACACAGTAATTCATGTACTGCAGCCAGTGTCACAGACTAATGGTGGACACAACACTTAAGATGCCCCAGTGTATGTTAGATCTATACAGTAGAGCTAGACTTTTTTTTATCTACTTCCTGATTTTTTTTGTGGGGGCTTGACTTCATTTGCTGTCTGATCATGTGATGGTGGGTTCTGCAGACCGAGCACTTTCCTCTTTGATCTTTATGAATCTAAAGAATAATAGAAACCTTGTATGGTAACTTCATGAATTTTTCAACAAAAACAATATAAGTTGCCTAGTGCATTTCTCTTTTTTGTGACTTGAATCTCATTTTTCAAATGTTACAGAATGATACAGTAAATCAGCATAATGTCTTTCCTCTTTGGGACCTTGAATTGAATCAAGCCCAGACTTGAGCAAAGAACTTGTGTTGTGGCTGAAGGGCTCTATGAAGTTTTGACAGTTCTTTGTGGGGGTGGATGCAACTCAGGACACTGAATTGTCAATTCATAAGTCATTGGCAGTTGATGTTGTATGCTTTCAAAGTATTGTTGCTTGGTACAGAGTATTAGGATGGGAGGTGCATTCAGAATGTCTGTCACATCGGTTGATATTATCTCCACCTAAGAGGGTCAACTGAGCCATCCTCTGCCATGATTCCAGGCGATTTGGAACAGGTCTACACTGTTGTATCAGGGAATTGTTTGACAAAATAGCAAGTAAAGACTTACTATATGTTTGGGGTGGGGGGCGCAGGGTGGAAGGAGAATTATTGATGTAATTCAATTATTAATGTAACTGATTTTTTTAGGTTTTGGATGATACAGTGGAACATTTATTACAAGGTGGGAAAGTTGGTACTTTTGCAATGTGCAGTGGGTTGCAAATCATTCTTTACTCTTTATGCTGCGAGATTCTGCAACATCTGCTTTTTTTCCTCTCTTACACTTGCCCTGGTGACCACTGTCCAACATCCATTGCAATGCACAGAAACCTACACGAGCTGGCACATTGCTTCAGTTTACTGTATCTTTCTTATAGAAAAAATGAGTGGAAACTATCAAAATAATTTTAAGAATTAAAATGTTAGTTTTCTAATTGAAAACCCAATTTTAACTGAAGCTAAGCAATGGACCTTTCAAGGGCTGTTATTGTCTTATAATAAAGTTGCTTTTAATTCAGATGCTTTGAGGAGCAAGATTCTAAATAATTTTCACAATCCCTTGCTAATTAATCTTCTGCAATTATCGTGAGCCTTGATATAATGCTAACTGAAATGTGTACTTCTCATTGCAATAACACTTAATTGTGTATCTTTTTCTTATAATCCACCACTCATTGGGAGGACTATACAGTCAGATTTTAATAAAAATCTATCATACAAATAAACAACCCAATACCACTAAGGCTGCTAAACTAATTTCTCTACTGCCTTTTGCTGCATAGGATTAGAGAGAGGAGTTGCATGAAATTGTATTGCGTATATTGTAAACTTTAAAATCTCATTTGATGCTTGGGAAATCATGGGCATTAGTTTCAAAGAAATATCAACTTTTTTCAAAAACTGATTTGGTTTATTATGGGCGACTTTCTTTGGATCCTGTACTTTGTTTTAATGCAAATTACAAATGTTAAAAGGGGCTCTAAGATTATAATAATGGGTTCTGAGAGTTGACCAATTCTTCTCTGATCTTCACTCCTAATACTATATATGCCATATTGGGAGGTTCAGTTGGGAGGTTATATTGAGGGTCGAGTCATTGATCTACAAAACTCTTGTTGATTTTTTTTAAGAAATGTTGAATTAGTATTGCACATCAGGAGATGAAGCTTTGAAGGATTGTAGTGTAGTATCTGCAACAAAACGAGTTTCTAAACTCACCATGAATTGAGCTCTGCGCTGAGCAAAGCTGGCATTATATGTATTTTTGAATGCTAAATTGCTTTCAGTACTCTTTTCCTGAATAATGAAGCTCTTCTAAATATTGTTCAGCTTTAATTGTACTCTTAAATGTTCATTTCCCCCCCTTCCAGATGATGAACCCAGGTGGTATACTCAATCCAGAGAACAGTGAGGGTGTTAGTGAACAGCCTTCTGAGCATCCCTGAAAACTTCCCTTTTCTTGCATTCGAGCTTTCTGTACGTATTGATTTATTTTTTAAAAAAGATTGGAATGGAAGGAAAACCTGAAGACTACATCGCTCTTACAACTGACACCAGTAAAACACCTGCAACTGTTTTGAGAAGCAGAAACAACTTAAACAATAATTGCCAAAGATTTTCTGGGTCTGTGGATCCATTATGCACTTTTTATTACTACTTTAACTTACTATCTTTTGTAATCCATAAATAGTTTTATTGGTAAAAGTATACAACACCTGGCCAAAGCATTTCTGGTTGTTGTACAGGGGTGACCACATTTGTGTTTACTTGGGTAACTTTATTTGTTAGAAATCTCCTTTATATTAAACATATCAGGCCATCAAGGAATGTGATCACTAGTCAGTTAAAGTTCCCGTTGTCTTCTGCAAATTTACCTTTTGAAACTGATTTGTGAAGTTTAATAGATTCAATTGTCGACAGTTAACCCACTTATTCAGTTTGTATTGTGCCAAAACAAATTGTCATCTACTGGACAGGTTTGACACTAACTTTACATTTTCAGTGCCTCTGTGTGCAAGATTAAAGATTTAATGTGATTTGTGGTGGTCTTGCATTTAATTGAAAGTTGTAGGATGTGATTTGATCTGAACCAGATTCAGTTGATGGTATGGTGCAGTGCCAGATATATGATCAAATGAAGAACATAGGCATTTTTTCGAAAAAGAATTTGTAACTTGTATATTTTGGCAGATTTTTTTTCTATTAAAAATGTTTGCAAACATCCCCAGTTTAGTCTTTTTTTAAATAGCATAGAGTGATTCACTAAAGGTCAATTGTAATGCTCCAGTTGTACATGCAACAGTTGAAGGTGTGAATAATAGTTTAATTAGTAATTCAGTAATTGAATAAACCTCAAAGCCAAGTTTTTGGTGGAGCAGGTAAGGTTAAGGAATAGTAAGCTATATTTGAACTTTTCTCTTTGCCTTTGAGTGAAAGATCATAACTCATTGGCAGTTCTCAAACTGTGTGATTTAAGTATAGGAGATGTCAAGACAGATTTATTTTTGCTTTCTCTCCCCCAGTTCCAGGACTAACAGTCAGCCATCAACTCACTTGGTTATATATGAGGAGAAATTGGCTCACTTGCTGGGAAATTACTGACTGGTGGTTCTGTGATAGGGAGTCTGGGGTAGACTGGTGTGATGGGGGTAGCAGAGTTCAGAGCAGGTGAGCATATGGGTGGCAGAGTTATTAGTTGGATTTTGTGGATGTGGAACTTCATTCCAAAAAATTAAAAAATTCCACGTGTAAATGTCATGCATCAAATAGGTGATTTTCAGGATGTTACACATTCCTAAAGTGAAACTAAGTTATTTGGTCCGTTTACAAAGGGAGCAAAATATGGTATCATAGCTGGTAAATCACTGTTTGCACAAATACTAATTAGTGTTCTGATAAACTGCTTCAGTTTGTAAGTCCTTGCATACATATCAAGGACAATGGATGCCCTTGCACAGTACAGTTTGCCACCAGTGGCAGCTGCTGCCACAAAACTAGATCTTTGATTGCATTAAGCCTCCTTCGCTCCAGCAATTTCTGAGACGAATGCCGATAAGCAATGTCATTGGCTATAATATAACCAAAGGCCTCTGATGTTTGTGCATGTTATCTTTATCCTGCCTCTCTCCCCCCCCCCCCTCCCCCACATCAGCCTGAAGGACTAATAAGGAGTTCATCTCCAAAAATATTAATGCAGCAAGAAAGAGTGTTGGGTTTCACATGTCAACTCATGCCCATAACCGTACTGGCTCCACACACCCCAGTCTTCTCGTCCTTTTTATGTAGCCGCCCCCTCGCCCGCTTGCTCGGGTGACAGAGGGAAACGGAACAAGTCCGACGCTGACAGCCGATGGAGCCACCCATCCCCGCGAGTGCTTTTTAAGCCACTGGTATCAATCCACGCGTGTAAATAGTAATCCGTGCATTTGATTTATTGTCTTATCGTGTCGTAGAGACGTCTCAAAGGGCCCGTTGCCTCTTACAAACAGTTGTGGATTGAGTGACCAAACCATTACTCCTTTTTTTGGGGGTAGAAGGGAGGGAGGGGGTGGGGGCTAATGCACAGCAGCGGAACACGCGCAAAACAAAACACAAGACATGTGTGTACACACATGTTGCAGCAGAAGGCATTTCCCCGCCCACCGAATGACGCGCTCGCTCGAGGCCCCGCCCACTCCCACCCACCCACCCCCGATCGTACGCACGTGACCCCCATCGCCGCACGCCGCCGCCGCCGCGCGCGCGGTCAAGCCTGCCCCCGCCCCCTCCCTGGCGCTCGAGCGCGCGCGCGCTCGCTTGCCGTTCCTCCGCGTCGAAAGGCTCAACCGTCGCGCCTTGAGCGCGCTCTGCCCGCCCGCCCGCCCACCGCCTCGCCCGACACTCTGTGCCCCGCTTCTCCCGCAGAGCTTTCCCCGCTCTCTTTCCCGTTCCTCCATCCACTCACCTCGTTACGCACGTTGATGATGATGACGACGTTACCGGCCATCGCGCTGCGCCACCCTCTTCCCCCCCCCTCCTCTCTCGCGCTCTCCATCTCCTCGTCACCTGACTTGACAGACAGACCCCTCCCACCTGCTCGCGCTCTCCATCTCTCTCATCACCTGACTTGACTGACTGACAGACAGGCCCCTCCCACCTGCTCGCGCTCTCCATCTCTCAACACCTCACTGACAGACAGGCCCCTCCCACCCACCCCCTCTCGCGCTCGGCAGCGCCTCCCGCGCTCGCTCTCTCTCGCGCGCACGCGCCCGTCACGTGACGGCTGCTGGCCGCTGACCCGTCTCGAGCGTCAGTCGGGGAGTCGCACAATTATGAAAAAGGCAGCTTCCGCTGGAGCGGCGGCACTCTGCAGCATCCGACCCGCACCGCCGGCCGCCCGCACACCACCACGTCGATGGCCGAAAGCCACGCGGAGCTTCTCCCTCGACCTCGTCCGTGAAGAGAATGGTCAGTGGCCGAGGCGGCGGGCCTTCGTCCGAGGTGGGAGAGGGGGGGGGAGGAGGAGTGGGAGGAGGAGGAGGAGTGGTGGGGGGGTGTAGGGGGTAAAGACACTCCGAATGTCTCCGGCGTTTTTATCTTATTTGGGGAGGAGAGGGCGGGAGCGGGTGGGGGAAGAGGTTGTGCTGTCGTCCCGGGGACCGGTGGTGTTGGCGGTGGGCGGTGTTCGAGCCGAGCCGAGCCCCGGCCGCCGGGAGACGCGTCGCGTTGGTGCGAGAGGGCGAAACCGCGGGGCGCGATGAGGAAGGAGGATCGGGTGGTTGGTTGGTCCGTTGCGCGTCAGGAGCTGAGAGGGAAGGCTGCGCTGGTCCGCTCGGGCCTGAGCGGAGCGTCTCTCTCGCACCGCGTGAGTGAGTGTGTGTGTGTGTGGGGGGTGGGCGGGGGGTGTAGTTGGTGGACGGACCGCGCTGACTTGCTGTGAGGTGAGAGAAGTGTGCGGGGGGTGGGGTGCGGGGGGGGGGGTGCGGGGGGGCCCGGGCCCGGCTGGACGTTGCTTACCGCAATGTTTCTGTTCGTCGCAGTCTTGGATGTCATTCGGAATGAAGTTTCTCGCCAGACAGTCGGCGTTCAATGTCACTGACCCGCGGCCCCCGGTCGCTGTGTGGTCTTGACGTGTTTCGTGTCATTAACGAGTCCCCTCGTGTTTGCCGACGTGAAATGGATAATGCTCATTGCAGTGTGTTCACAGCCCAAACTAACTCTTTAATGCCACGATTAGCTTCACTCTCGGAGCTCAAGATGACCAGTGTTTAATATTATGGCATCGACTAAATCTTGGGTATGTGCCGCCTTGAGAGTCATCACAGCTTCGTCTGACAGTATTTAATACTGCAAACTGACATTGGTCAATAGTGTTAGCATCACTGTGAATAAAATTGCATTCATGTGGTTAAACAAAGTCAGATGCAATTTGCGATGTTTAATTATATTTAGTGACCAGTGGATAATCTTTGGAAGAGTAAGGTGATAAACGTTCGTGACTCTATCTGGTGGCCTTCAGTATCAGTGAGGAATGCCTACAAAGTAATCTGACTAATTAATATCCCTCTGAATAATAATGCTCACTGCAAAGTCTACTCACAGTAACATTTGTCTGAGTGATTTTGAGTTTAATGTTATGGTGTGTGCGTGTAATATTACTCCGTAGAGAGATAATTGTTAGTCTAACTGACATTGCTAAGAGAAATATTGATTAAATTGTTCACTACAATTCAAGAGGATTCAGCATTGGGAGAAATGATGCATTAGAAGTCTTGTGCTGAGTAGTTGGTGGTTAACCTTCGACAAGTGATGATGTTGATAAACATGCTGCATCATTAAGGATAATGGATTCATTGGAAGTATTTTATCCAACATCCTTTAATATCATTTGGTAATGATTAGAGTAGCATAATCTACTTTTATAGTAATAGTCAGTTATGGGAATCTCACAAGTGCAAGGATTATTAAATGAGAACTGTCTATTTTGGCACCTGAGATTTATTGGTTTATTCCTATGTTACTTTCTCCCCAGATTAAGTTGAAAGGAATGAAAATTTTTGTGGTTAAAATCAAAATAATCCTAGCGATTGACAGCAGCAAATTTGAAGTTGTATTTGAAGTGCTTTTCACATTGGAGACTGTTTTACAGAGAAGGGAGTGGAAGCCTAACCTCCATGAGAGAAACTCAAAAGAAAGAAGATTATGTTCTTTTTTTTAAAAGAATCTATAGTTACTATGTACAACTCGTATGTCAGCCAGGTTCAATCGTAGCACTCTTATCTCTGAGTCAGAAGGTTATGGGTTCAAGCCGTACTTTGGGACTTGGAATCATATAGTCTAAGTTGGCACTCCATTGCAGTGCTGGGGTAATTTGCTTGTTGGAGGGACAGCCCTTTGGATGAGATGTTAAAATGAAGTCCCATCTTCAGGTGCGCGTTAAAGATCCATTGGCACTATTCGAAAAGAGAAGGGAGGTTCATCTGGTTTCCTTGCTAACAATCCCCCCAAATAAAATTGGTCACCCACTCCATGGCTGTTTGTGGAACACTCCTGTGCACAAACTGGCTGCAGTATTTCACCCACAAAATACACAGTCAATCCACTTTACAATACATACTGAAGTGCTTTGAGACGTCTCAAAGTTGTGATAAGGCACTATATGAAATGCAAGAATAATGATGATTGTTATCATTATGTTATTACAGTTCAAATCACTCTGTAGAGGTCGTTTCTAAGTGGCTTTGAGTGATGGGTCAGCCAGACCAATAACACTGCCATGTTACATATGAATGAATGTTACTTTTCGTCGTATGTTTGAACTTCCTAAAATAACTGCCTTTTGAGGGAGGTTGATATTTTGTTCACCATGTATTTTGTCAAGCCATTTCTGAATAGTCTTATTAACAGTCCCAGTTGCACTGGTGATTATAGGAATTGTTTGTTTTCTAATGCCACATATGCCATCATTCAATTTGTAGATCGATATATTTCCTGATCTTGAGTTCCTTATTTCTTACATTGTAATCACTTGGGATAGCCTCATCAATAATACTCCATGTACAATCGATTTGGTTCTTTATGATAATATCTGGTTTCTTACAGGTTTACTGTTCTATCTGTACATACTTGTGAGTCCAGCTTATTGTGATGTTATTTTTTGCTGTTACTTTCGCTGGTTGATGTTCATATCAGTTGGTCTTTACATCAATATCAAAGTGTTTACAAATTGTCCAGTGTATATATTTAGTTACTTTGACTCAGATACTCTGATTGTGCTAGGGCTGGACATGATGACAATATGCGGTCTACGGTTTCTGGTGCTCGATGACCTATTCAGCGTTTTGGATTGATAATGTTTCTCTTCAAGAAAAGTAGGAGAGTCTAAATCCATACCCTCAGTTAAAAGTGGGTACTAATTGCAAGATTACCAAATTATTTTCTTTTTGACAAATCGGTGAGTTAGAGACTGACGACCAAAAAAGTCCTGTGTCATCAGCTTGATATTCCTTTTCTCATATGAAAGCAATTACAAAGGATAGCTATCCTTGTCCAATTCTTGCAGTTCTTTCATTTTGCTCTGGAATAAACCAGTGGAATAAGAAAGGATGCAAAGGTAATCTTAAACCTGTGCTTTCTCTTGCACACTATAAGAGTTGCCTTCTACAGGTAGCCTCAGACCGAGTTCACCTCCAGCTACAAGAACGTACAGCCCGTGGCTCGTTATCAATAAACTATTGTACAAAATACAAATTTGGAAACCCCTCGTCACATTTTCCATCTGGGCAAGGTCTTCTTAGAGTAGGGATCGATCACTTATATAATAACAATCATCCTTACAATTAAGCCTTTCACGTCAAGAAGGCGACCCAAAGCACCTCACCGGATACTGTAAAATGACCATCGGAGATCGTGCTTTCAGCCACTACGCCCCCAAACTCTGGAACATTCTCCCTCAATCCCTCTGCCTTGCCCCCTCGCTCCCCACTTTCAAGTCTCACCTGAAAACTTTCCTCTTTGACCGTGCTAACGACTACCTCCCCCTGGCTCGGAGTCAGGCTCTGCCACTGTTAAGCGCTCTGAGACTACCCTGCATGGAGGGCACTATATAAGTGCAAGTTGTTGTTGTTTTGTGGGTGACTGCGACAGCCAATGTACATACAGCAAAGTCGCACAAACAGCCATGAGGTAATATGGTTCAGATTTTATTGCTTTAATAAGGGATAGTTACTTTCTTATTGCAATACATCTTGATTAATTCACCCAAACAAATTATTGGTGACAGATTTTACAAAATAGAAAAGCTTTTGTTTTAAAGTGTGTTTGGTTGTTCTGAATTCAGCTTCATGTACAGTCTATTTTAAAATGAGAAGCTACTACATTACTTTAAAGCGAGACTATTCCAAAAAGTTCATAACTTCTTCTAGCCAGTATTAAAATAACTTAGTTAGGTAAGCATGTAAACTTGCCGATGATAGTTTCTTATCCTCCTTTAAAATTATTGCTACTTTTTTTCTCCTTTAAATTATTGTTTATAGACTATCTGTAGAGCAAAGTTGACAGTTTTGTTATTTTGATGTGTAATTGTAGAGCAGTTTGACATGATTATAATCCATTAAATATGATTATGATTGTTTCATCCCCATGAGTCATGTATTTGAGGGCAGTGTTACGCATTTGCTTTCATTTAGAGACGAACAGCAGAAGGATTTTATATAACAGCCTTAGATGCTTTGGCACTACTGTTCAAAGTGCTGTCAAGACATCCATCGCCTTTGTTTTAAACTTTTGAATAGCTCATATTGCTTTCTCTTAGTGGGTGGATATTCTTCAACAATTGACTCTGGAACTGTATAAATTACATGAGGTTCTTTTACAAAAACAATTGTGCATGAATTAGCTTCTGTGCATAGTGGGGTTTTAACCTGAGGAATAATCAATGTGAAAACCCTGAACTGGAAGGATTTTAGGGCAGAGTTTGGTTACATTAATGAGATTGCCATGATTGTAAGTCGTTGAGACAACTACTCATTTTTTTCAACATAACTTGCTCAGTTTAATTAAAACTGTTTTCCAATGTTCAAAACTCGTATCGTACTTGTTCTGTAACTGTATATTCGCAAAGTCTACCTGATTTAACTAGTGAGAGTTGCTATATCTGTTTGTTCTGTTATTCGCTTCAGTGTTTTTAAATTAGAATTTCAGTCTGGAATTATATGCTAGATAGAATAATGAATATTGAATTTTTGAACTGTAAAAGCATTTCAGTAAAATATATTTATGATAGCTTAACATTTAACAACAGATTTTATGTACTTATAACTAGGTATGATTGTTATTTGTATGATTCAATAGTAATTTTTTAAATACAACTACGAAGATACATTTATTGTTCAATGTTTTAATGTTTTTTTCCAGTTTACATGATGTATTCTTTATTTTTCCCCCTCCTTTGCAGTTCAAGTTTTCTT